CTATTTACAAAACTGGGAACAAAAAATCCTTGTTGCTCAGAATCTTCTGTATTATGTGAATAATTTTTGTGAGCAAATTAATTTACTTTCAAAATGAGGATTACTTTCTAATCTAGTCAGCATTTCATGTAAATCTGACTTAGGAAAAATAAACAAAATTAAATATACCTTATTACCATGGGGCTCATTGTTCTTTTTAGCCTGAAGTTCTATAGTTCAGGAACATGCTCATTCATTTCAGTTTCATCTGTTTCGTTTATCAGAGATAAGCTAAATTTGTGTGATTAATTGTATGTACTAGTTGAAGTAATCATAAAACTATACCTAGTATTATTGATCCACTTATATTTTGTCTCAAGCAACTAACAATTTCCTTTTCATTACACTTAATTACATACATATACATGTTTGCACATTATATACAGTGTCTCTAAACAATCTCCATTACTTTTATAGCAACATTTTATGTTTCATGCCCCAAATAAAATACACATAAATGCATGATGTAACTGTACTTTATTCATTCTTCAATTAAATATATTTTCAAATAAATACTCTTAATTAAATTAAATATTTCATTGTACGTATAAATTTATATACATGTATGTATGTATTAATTGTTCAATGACAACAATAATAAAGAAACTTATTGTTTGTGTAAAATTAAAAAGTATCACAATTGTAACTGAAAAAATATTATAAATATTATTAAAAAATCAACACCAACAAGAACATAAAAAATTAAAAAAAACAAGATTGAGTAGGATTCCAAACGACCAACAAAAATACAAAATGAAAATCCTACTCTCATGAATTTGCAAAGGAAACTAAAGGCGTGAAACAATATAAAGAAACAATGGACTACTCAATCATCGAAATCTACCAATTTTAAACGAAAGTCACAAAAGAGCCTTCTTCTGATGAATCTGATTTACGTCATTCCATATTGTCGGCATGGATACCGGGAGCTCCACCCACACCTCATTATGCCAGAACACTCATCCTCAGCTCTTCATAATTCCAGTTCAGACACAGTGCATTTTAGAAACCATAGATAGAGGTACAAAGATGGGAACCTCTGACAAAGATTTGCAATAAAAGATGGAAATCTCTAGATGAACCTCTTTTGTAAACACTCAAGATTTGTCTCCCCTCATTGCTAACTTTGCCGGCCACATGACTCCGCCCTCTGAAGGCCACGGTTTGGTGAGTAATGCTACAGAAGCTTCAATCTGGCACTATTTTATAAACTTCATATAGACACTGCTCAATGACTTCATGCACTCTGTGCCGAGTGGAACGATAAACTCTCGCTGTTTAAAGGAAGAGGACGCTGGTCGGAAAGAAGAAGAAACTGGTCGTCCCAGTGATGAAGGTAAGTCCATCAATGGTTCCTGTTATTATTATTTTTTTTACTTTATATCATAGTGATAGACGATATTAGAAGGACAGGGGTCAAGCTAATCATGACACAGAAATTGAAACAATAATATTTTCAATTAGTGCAACAAGCTGAGGTATTTCATTTTTAAGTGATGAAGTATTTATGAAGTGATGAATTTTTAGAGGAAGAAGTGTTGAGGGAAAGAAAACTAACAGAAAAAAGTTTGATAATTATCCCAAGCAGTGTCAAAATGTTGTTCACAAGTGCATAGTTTTTTAAATTTGCTTACAAGACCTCCTTATTTAATGGCAGTTGCAGGAAAAAAGTAATGGAAATCCTCTCCTCTCTTATTCTAGCTGTGTCAGTCTCACTCACAGTCTGCCAGTGAGGGAGAAGGGGGCCAGTAAAACACTTTCTGGGACCCCACTTGTAGGACCCCACGGCTGAGTCAAGAACAATGGCCAATGATCTCCAAGGGGTTCTGGGACATAGTGAACTCGTCCGTTGAGTATATTTATATGAAATTCTCTTTATTTGCTGAATTGGAATCAAATTCATGGAAGGCAGTTGCTGCACTATCAGCTGAAGATGGAGACTCAGTTAACCTCATCTTAGCAAATTATGTCACTTCAAGGACGAAAGAAAATGAAGAAGTACCAGCTCTTGGGGGGAGAAGAGAACATTTTGAGATTGTTCTTTTTCTTTTTTTTCTTATAGTTGCTGAGAGTCCTTTACCAAATCTAATATTTTCTTCAGCTCCGGCTTCTCTCCGACCTTCCACCACTCCAAAGTCCATACTCAAAAGGCCACAATCCGCTAGCAAGTTGAAGACTAGCTCAAAAAAGCGTCTTTCATTACTGTTGAATCCAGCTTTAGAGCAAGATGAAAGCTAAAAAACTGAGGGAACATTTACGACTAAACTGGTGCAAATCACTGAATGCTTCAAATAAAATGATGTATATCTTATGCTATGTGGCTTACAGGGCCAAGCCAACCATAGATGGAGTGTGGCAGTGCCATTACCACCTCCTCTCATGAGGACTGCTGCCAAGTGAAGATACACACCCCCGTACTCTGATGGAATGGGTGGAGCTCAGTGACAAAGATCTGCAAAAAAATAATTTTATCTCACAGCTAAGAAATTGCTTCAAATTACTCAAACTTATTATGCTGCATAAAATACTACATGTATGGCACGAGCTAACTTTGACCCAAATTCATGACAAAAATACATTACAAAATATCAGTAGTACATGTATGTGTGTGTATTCATTAAAAGATCCTATTGTATCATTACTTTGTTTGGTGCCAAGAACAAGTCCACAATGTAGTTGCCCTCTTTCTCCATTGCTGGCTTTAGATCGTTATCAAAGAAATGCTGGATCTTACTGAGTATGGTCTTCTTGAAACGAGCAATGTTTCATTGTATACGAGACTAAAATAAAATAAATAATAAATTAAGTAATAAAATGAGATAATATAGTCCACCTTTAATTGTGTGTGTGCTAATTTTAACATTTAATGTGTATTGGAGGTGTGTCCCTACTAATTAAAAAATTATTAATTAATAATAATATTTAATGTCGTTATTATTTTAATTTATTGTTTTAAAGATCCCTCATTAAATTCACTACAATTAGTACACAATATTAAAAGTGACTTAATGTACTAATATCTCAATGAAGGTCACTACTTCCATCATTAACTTACTGTTCCTCATCTTCAACACTTGAATGTACTTCATGTACATACAACATGTATTACTAGAAATTACTAATAGGAATGAAAAAGATAGAGAGAGGGGCATTAAATATTAACACAATTATATTAAACTTTGTATATTATTATTCATTCTCACTTTTCTTTAAATTATTTCAAAAGGTCACTGACCGAGGGGTAGTGACTGTAGGCTGGGGAATGGTCTGGGCGGCGGCGAGACTACCGAGGGGTCCTTAACGAGGCAAAATAGTGTACGAGACTCCAAAGATTCCAAGTTGACTCACCAAAGACTCCAGTAAGTATACTCCGGATATAGTCTGATCCCTCGTCACCTCGCTCGTCACTGCTTCAGTACTGAAGACATTTTAAGAGGACCAAGAGGAGGAGCTTGAAATATTGAGCCACTCCCTTTTGCAACTACAGCACAATTGGCTTGTGACTTGTTCTTCTTTATATTGACTGTATCTTTTTACAGTTGATCATTAACAGTGATAGAGGTAAGTACAGTTCATTTTAATTATACTTTACTAATAATTACAAGATGATTGATGTCTATTTTTAATCCACAGTATCATAGCAAACCTGAACTGACTGTTAGTCTACTGTACTCCTCACTATTCTACTTCTTATTAATTCAAATGTGAGCTCGATTTATAATTATATATTTTGCAGTACATTTTATGATCTGCTCAATTATAAACCATTAACTTTAAATCTGTAAAATGACCAAATTTAGTCAAAGTACTATCAGTAGTGAGATCAGCAGTGACAATAATAACTAGTAGAGGAGTGGTACCAATCACTACAGACACTACTCATAGCATATAGTGTTAATGATCCATGAATATAATTCAATCATAGTTCAGGTACACATACACTCACTTCTATTGTACTTTTTACCATTAGTGACAATACTTGAGTATAAATACAAGATGATTGATGTCTCTCAATGGAGAGCAAGTATTGGACTGTGGAACTACTGTCAAGCTGCCTCCAGTAGACCAGATAATGGCCGCCACTCTCACTTATTCAAAGCTGCAGTAGACAGCAAGTCAGGCAGTACTACATCAGGAGAGAAGACATCTAAACTGCCAGCAGCTCTGTCTCTTATTGTTTTCCTCCTCCCCCTCTTTCCCTCTCTCTCTTTATTACAACACATCTTGATGATTCCTCCAACAGGTAAGCAACAATCACAACTTTGTGCTTGTATATTTACTGGTATTTTATTATTAGGTAACTGCTACCAAGTACAATGTACTACTGGTGTTACTGTTACTGATATAAATTACCTCCAGTCAGTAGTCTTACCTGGAGGCAGCAGTTCTAACCTAATTTACAATGATCTCTATTTGATTGTTTGTCTACGTATGCTCCTCCTCTTATCAGGAGATGTTGAACTCAATCCTGGTCCTATGATTGATGATAAACCTGACATTTCCCTGCTGCTTCAATGGCTTGAACCACTTGTTGACTGGCAGCCATTTGGACGACAGTTACCAGGATTGACTGCAGATATTATTACAATAATTGAACAATCAGAAACTGATCTTTATCATAAAAAGAAAAGGCTCATCACAAAATGGTTATCTATTAATAAAAATGCAAAATGGAAGGATGTGATTTCGGCATTAAAAAGAAGGAAAGAAACCGAACTAATGCAATTCATTAGTAATCAGCTAGAAGTACAGCAATGCACAGAAGGTATATGAGGCATGATTGTAATGATTATTATTATAATTATATTAAATTTATAATAGGTAATAATGATGCTCCTAGTACACCAGCAGCATCTACTGTTCCATCATCAATTTCTGTAAGAGAAGAGCCTAATTTATTACAAACTATTAATGATCAGTTACAAGTACATCAATGTACAGGAGGTATGATCATGTATTTATAATATGAATAATTATATTTAACGTACAATAGGTAATACTGATGCTCCTACTAGTACTGTACCAGTAGTATCTACGGTATCATCATCAGTTTCTGTAATTAAGAAACAAAAAAACTGTACTACATCAGGTAAGCATACACTTAATACAACACTCATTAACTGATACACCACTGCAGGTGACACTCCTAGTGCTATATTAAGGATGAACTATGCTACTCTTGTTGATGCTATTACTAATAATCTTTACAGAGTAACAAATGGACTGTATGCTAAAGGACTAATACCAATGGAAACTGTTAATCATATTCAAACAGCAGCTTCTTCTGATGTTGTTAAATCTGGAAAATTAATGTCCGCATTACAACAACAGTTAGAATCCTCTCAAAATCCAGAGCAGTACCTAACTGAAATGTGTCGTGTATTAATAAACCAACAACATCATACACTAACAGATATTGCTACCTCTATATTACACCAGTTAGGTGAGTGTGTGTGTGTGTACATTATCAGTGATCAATATAGTCAATATATCTCAATACATTAGGTCAGTCTATACCTGATAATGTCACATCCATTAGTTCAATACCTGATGACATTCAAGGATATGCTGACAATATGAGACAACACTACAAACACCAACCTATCGTTGCTACAGACTGGCCACCAAGAATTGGAAAAGATTTCTTTGGAAGACTAGCACTAGTAGAAAAACAAGACTCTAGCACACAAGCAGAATCAGCTTGGCATCTGCTAAGAGGAGAAGTTGATAAAACAGTTAAACTAACCGGAAAACAAAGAGATAAGTGTTGAAGATGTCCTCCAACCCACAGATAGTTTTCTGTCTCTC